CCTCCCAACAGTGAACGGGCCAGTCCTCCTTAGCCGGCGACCCGCTCCTTTGGAAGCCGTACCCCGGATTTATAGCCTCCCAACGCCCTCCTGGATCTGTCCGTCCATTTCTACCTCCTTCACGAGCCTTGCCCTTACCCTTAGCCTCCCTGTCGGTTTGCTAGAGAGAACGATACTAGCTCTTCACAGGCCCCTCCTACACCAATGCCTACGCCTACAATTCCTTTCCCGCCGTACAAATCGCCTCCCGCCCATACTGACGAGCTGGTGACCTTTCGTACTCCTCCCGCATACCAGAGCCTCTTCTCTCTAGAAAAAAAAAATAAACGAAAAAAAAGGGGTAAAAATGAAGCCGAATTGAGGAGAGAGGAGAAGAGTGAAGAGAGAAGAAGAGAGAGAGAGAGAAAAGAGTGAGGAATGAGAGAGAGAGATAGGGGAGGGGGAGAGGGAGACAGAGGCAGAGAGAGACGGGAGAGTTTAGAGAGAGATGGAGAAGAGAGAAGAAAGAAGGAGAGGTGACGTTTAGGGCGGGAGAGAGAGAGAAAGAGATGAAGAGAGAAGACGAAGAGAGAGGAGGGTGCAAGGAGAGAGATGGATTGGCCAGAGAGAGGAGGCAGAGGGAGAGGGAGATTGGATGGGGGAGGAGGAAGAGAGAGAGATGAGAAGAGAAGGAGAGAGAGAGAGATGAGAGAGAACGGAGCGGGTAGAATCACGCTATAAGGAGGGAGAAAAGGTAAAGAGAAAAAATGCGAAGAGATAGGATGGAGTTCCGGGAGTAAGGTGGAGGAGGAGAGTGAGGGGGGAGAGCAGGTGGGAAGAGAGAGAGGCGAAGGAGAGAGGAGAGAAAAGAGTGAGAGAGAGATTGAGATTGTGGTAAAGAGGAGGAGGAGAAGATGGCAGGAGGGGGAGGGAGATGGATGAGGGAGAGAAGAGGAGATATTAGAAGAAAGGAAGAGGAAGGTAAGAAGAGAGAAGATGTGCGAGGAGAGAAAGAGAGAGAGATGGAGGAGAGGGAGTAGAGAGAAGGAGAGTAGAGAAGGATGGAGAGAGGAGATGATGAGAGGAGGACGAATGAGAGAGAGAGAGAATGGACTGTTGCAGAGAGAGAAGGAGAGAGAGGAGAGAGAGAGAGAGAGGATAAGAGAAGAGAAGGAGGGAGAAGGCAGAGAGAGCCAGGAGAAGAGGAGAGGATGAGAGAAGAGGAGGGATTGAGAGAAGAGACGAGATAGAGTGAATTGAGGAGAGGAGAAGGAGGAGAAGAGCAAAGAGAGAGAGAGGAGAGAGAAGAGAGAGAGAGAGGAGAGAAGTAGATGGAAGAGGAGAGGAGAGAAGAGAAGAGAGAGGAGAGAGAGAGAGAGAGAGAGAGAGAGAGAGAGCGGGCTGGAGATTGAGGGAGAGATGGAGGGAGAGAGAAGGAGGTAGAGAGTGAGAGAGGGAGAGGGAGTGGGAGATAGATAGATAGATTAGAGAGAGGAAGAGGGAGAGCGATTTAGACCTGTTAGACGTGTACAATGTCCTTCGTGGCATCATACTAGTTTAATTTAGTTTTCTTTTCATTTAGGTCATGATTATTTGTATGTGGCCAATTTAGGCATAAGAGTATCAAAAATATCTAATTTAGTCTCTCAATTATATCAATTTTATCCCAAATTGTCCCGCATAAAGAAATTATAAAAATGGGACATAAAATTAATCTTAAATTTGCGCCTTGCCTATACAAATGTGATCCACCAGGTAAACTTGTAGCTCCTCGCCATCTAACCATGTGTCTTCTGACTTAGGTTTGCCTCTCCACCTGATCAAATATCTGCTTTGTCCACCATATCCTGTTGTTAACTTTCTCTGCCATAGGTGTTTTGGGAATGATTGGAAGTGGTGGTAATTTTGGGTTCTCATAAAGTGGGGTCACACAAGGCTGATGTAGAAGTGTGGATTTGGTGGGTTAAAATTGGAATCTTCATATGCTACTAGATCTTCTATGTTAAAGGAGGGATTGATATTGAATTCTATAGGCAGATCTACTACATAAGCATTATTGTTGATTTTTTTAATTATCTTGAATGGTCATGCACTCTTAGCGTTTAACTTCTTAATCGTTCCTTACAGGAACTATTCCGAACATATCCGCACCATCACCGAGTCACAAACATCAAAAGTTTTAATTTTTTGTTTAAGATCAGCATAAAGTTTATAATCATCATTGCTCTTTTCAATATAGCATGCAATTTCTTTATGAAGGTCATGTATATGCGATGCAAATGAGGATGTAGAATTAGAAATCCTATACCTATAACACATGTGTATGAGATCTAGCGGCTGTTTAGGTTGGAACCCATAAATAATTTCAGATGGACTTAGGGTAGTGTTACGGTTCACAGAATTATTATAGGCGAACTCAGCTGTGGGGACTATGGAATCCCAATCCTTAATATTCTAACTTACTAAGGATTGTAACAAATTACCTAAGCTCCTATTGACTATCTTTGTTTGACTATCAGTTTGTGCATGAAAGACTATGGAGAATTGCAATTTATTGCCCATTTTCATCCATAGGGTTTTCCAAAAATAACTGGTGAACTTGACATTACTATCCGATACAATGATTTTGGATAAACCATGTAAGCAGACGACCTCATTGAAATAAAGTTTAGCAATGTGGGAGGCGTCAGATGTATTGGAGCAAGGTAGAAAATGGGCCATTTTTAAAAATTAATCGACCACAACATAGATTGCGTCATTCCTACGGATGGTCTTGGGCAGGCCTAAGATAAAATCCATACTAACATCCTGCCAAGGACAACTAGGGATAGGCAGAAGGGTGTAGAGAACAGTGTTTTGTTTGCGTTGCTTGGCCAGCTCACACGTGTGATAGTTGCTGACCATTCTACCAACATCCCTCTTCAGGCTGGGCCAAAAGAAACAATACTCCACGGCTTCTATCGTCTTATCCCGACCGAAGTGTCGATCGAGGCCTCCGACGTGGAGTTTCCAAACAAGAAATTCCCTAAGTGAGGTGCTGGCGATGTAAAGCTTCTGAGCTTTGAAGAGATAACCATCCTCCCGAAGGAAATCGTCCATGAGGCGTGTGCTACCTGTGGCTAAGAGAGAATAAGTCTCATTAAAGTCGGGACATTCCAAATAGTCCCTTTTGATTTGGTGAAATTCCACGACTTCAGCCCTCATCTCAGTGGTTGTCATCATATAATGACTGAGAGCATCGACATGTTTATTTTCAACTCCCTCCTTTTGTTTAAGAGTATAAGTGTACTCGTGAAGGAATTCGACCCATGTTCAACTTTTTTTGGGAGTTTATATAACGCAGAGCCTCGTGATCTAAGAAAATACCGACTCTTACGGGAGCAAGTAGTGTCGCCAATAACGAAGGGATTGTATCACAACATATAACTCCTTGTCATACGTGGAATATCGCTGTTGAATGTCATTTAGCTTTTCAATGAAATAAGCTACAGGGTGACCTTCCTGTGATAGGACTCCTCCAATTCCAACCCCCAAAGCGTCACACAGGTCATTTCGAAGACTTTTGAGAAATCAGGAAGTCTCATCACTGAGACTTCCATCATATTTTTCTTAGGGGCTGTTTGGTTACCTAAATTAGGAGGGTAAAGTAAAACAATTACATGCATTTACTAAATTGGGTTGTTTGATTAATTTTGAGTGGAAGAAAAGAAAAGCCTCCAAAGCATTAGCCATGTATTAGGAGACGTGTTTCGTGCGAAATAGAAACTCGCTCATATTGAGCGGGTTATAAATTCTCTAGATGAAATCTGTCCCAACGTCATTGCTGTTCAGCTTCATTGCTTCGCAGGAGGTGTAAGATTGCACGAGTGGCTTCTTCGGCTCATTCGTTCTAGTTCGACTTTGCTCCTTCGACGACATTCCCTTTGCCCATCGGATCGGAAGTTGCGACATTTTCATCGGAAGTAAGTATGGGAGCTCACAAGTTCTGAAGGTAACTTTCTCCCTTTCGCATGCTTCTTCGGCCAAATCCCGTCAATCCTTCGAACTACATGATTTGGTAAAAAATCCATATTTTTTCCTCGATGAGATATTGCGCTTTCACCATCATCTTGATGCGCACCACAATCAATCTCTTCAGCTCCAATGGCTCATCTGTAAGGTTTGCTCAAGAAGGCATTCGAGCTCTCTATTCTTTGTGATGTAGAGGTCCGCGTCATCATCTTCTCAGCGCAAGGGAAGGTGCATGAGTTTGCGAGTACCAGTTTCTCTTTCTCTACCTCGTTGGTTTATTTGATATTGTTTTGATGTTTGGTTTCTGTGGTTGATTCCGAATTTCGGACTTGGTGATTCAAAACGAGCTGCGTTCTGCATTTATAGAATTTTAGTAGTCTGGTTTTCAGATTCCTACCGACGAACATGTTCTTGTTTCGCTAGGAATCTTTTCTTTGGCCTTTGTTTTTCCTTTTTAGAAGTATTTGTTTTCTGTAATTGTTGATTCTCATTCTTTTTCCTCCCCGTAAATGTTTTCTTCGATTGAGGAACTATATTAGTAAAGTAAAGCGAACAACAATAATTTTGGATGAGAGGGGTGTACATCATCCAAATCTTAATGTGAGAAGAAGAGCTAGCTACTTGTTTATGAGAGCAGTGAAGCTACTGAAACCCAAGCTAGTGCCTTTCGTTGATACAATTCTACAAGTATTGTTCCCGTTCCTTTTCCTTTTTTCTGGGAACCATTGCCTCCATTTCCTCTGCTTTGTTGTGTGAAATTCAAACTTCTTTTATGTATACTGCGCCGGTGTAGATGATGTTATTATTTGATTGCTGGCTGAAGAATTTGACTCTATCTGATAAATAGTTTTGTTCTTATTCCTCCCCATTTATATTCCACCATCTCATAAAGTAGTACAAACAAATTAAAACTTACCATTGCCAGCTTATGGTCTAGGGCTTCAGTGAGCGGACAGTGACCGCTAGTCGGCCTTCAATTGGATTGATGTTCAAGCATGCAAGTGACTGTGTTTTTTTTTATGCTTGCAATATTTATGGGTGCAATGTTGCTCCTTTTTATTTCTGGATGGTTCAACACCCAGAACTTTTTTCTCAAAAAGAAAGAGTAGATGTTTCTAAAATTTTATTTTTGAATTCTCAGACTTTGGATATTCTCCTACAAATACTTGTCACATTTCTAAATATCAAACCTTTGCATAATAAGGTATCAAGTGGGTCCATATATCTACAACAACCTATTTCATTATGTATCTCAATATTTCTTCAAAATATGCAGGTTACGTCATATCTTCATCGCAGAAAGTATACATGAGAGAATTCCATCTCTAAGAAACAAATTTAGAACATTTTGTAGAGTAAACTCATGATAAGATGTATTTTACAGTAGATAGAAACTGACCTTGCTAAGTGCATTTAAAGCTGCAATATTCTGTTATGAGCTCATAACTTTAGGTGAACTTTCCTCGAGCCCTTGAGCCTTTGCATCTATGAGTAGCATCTCAACATCGAAACAAGTAATTACCACATAGCTCATTTAATTCACTTAGGTAAGTTGCCACAAAGATGGAAATTCAAGAAAAAACTAACACAGCTTTCTTACTTTGTCCATAAAGTGGCTTAAGACGTGCTGCCAGGTATTCTGCCTGCTTTTCTGAGGAAATTTCTTCCACTCCAATCAACAACCCAATTGTTTGAGAAACCGAGGTATTTTCAATTGATGATGTAAAGCAAAAAGAATTTTATAGAAGCTGAACTCAACAAAGACTGCTTTTCCGAACTAAGAAGTTAAGCTAATTTACCTCAAATGTATGACTACCATCCTCAAAACCAGAATACATAAGATCCTTGGATGTCCAATAAGACCCAGTAAAGCACCCAAAGCTCTGATGATGATGAGGGTTGTATAATAGAAGAATAACTTTACTTTACAAAACGATGGCATAACTCAAAAGACACTAATTCATTGTGGGCATAGGTTATCTGCTTCACATCATTTCGTAAGGATCACATTTTGCTTAAAGCACCCAAAGAAAATAATATCACTCCAATTATATGGATAAAAAAAGGGGCAGAGGAGTTGAAACCAAAACTGAAATTGATTTCAGTTTTTTTAGAAATTTGGGAGGGAAGTTTATTTGGAATTTAATTTGAAATCCCAAATTAAAAGGGGGGAGAATTAATGCTCCCTTAATGGGATCCAATGAGGCCGGCGGGAGAGGTGTGGAGGTGGGTGAGAGAGATAAAAAAACTGAAGTTAATTTCAGTTTATTCATTAGTGGGGAGAGGATTTGGGGATTCAAATTCCATTCAAAATTCAAATTGGGAGGAAGAGGAGTAATTAACTCCTTAATGGAAATTAAAAGGGGAGGCCGGCGGGATAGCTGGGAGGGAGAGGGAGGATTGAGGGGAGGGGAAATAAGTTTCCAAAATGGTTTTGATGACGTGGCGAGGTATTTGAAATTCCAAATTTAATTAATTTTAAATTGGGTAAGGATGAATAATTTCCTAATTTGGAATTCCCAATTAGGAAACAACTCAAACTTGAATCTCAGATTTTTGCAAGGGAATCTGGTGAAGGGGGAAGGGGTTCGGCCGGTGAAGAAAAGCCCTCGGCGAGGGGCGGCCGATGGTGGTGGGTTTGGCCGGTGGTGGGGAAACCTTGGGGAAGGCCGGCGGCAAGAGCTAGGGGCAGCTTGTGTAGAATTTCTTGAGGGGGAAAAAAGGAAGGGAAAATGGAAGAGAGAAATTGTTAGGGTTACAATCACCTAGAGAACTCACTAAGAGATCTCGAAGAAGAACTCACCAAGAGATCCTCATTGCACTCACAAAGAGAACATAAAAATTTCATTCATCCAATAATAAATCAAAATACAAAATCTAGCCTTTATATAGGCTCCACAACATACGAAAAATAAAAGACTACAATGCCCTTGGGCAAAAACAAACACTACTTCCCTCATAGGGGTACAAACGGAAAAGACAAAATATAAATGACATGAATACAATAAGACATCAAAAATAAAGACTCTGAATCAAGGCCGTCGATCGACGTCTCCGTCGATGGTACACATGTCGGAATCTGATGCCCTCATCATTCTCCTCGGGTGGGAGGAAGCTCGACCCTGTCGAGCGAGGGTCCTGAGAACTCTCGTACAGCTCCAAGATGTCGGGATCCAGTCTCTGTATCTCCTCACGATCTAACCACGTGTCCTCCGTCTCCGGCTTTCCTCTCCAACGCACTAAGTATCTTTGGCGACCGCCGTTCCTGGTGGAAATGATCTCATCACTGAGTATGGTTTCAATCTTCTCCGTATTAGGTAATGGGGGAATTTTGGGAAGTGGGGGCAGGCTGGGGATCTCACAAGGTATGGACTCACAAGGCTCCAGATGTAGTGGATTTTCAGGGTTAAAATCAGGTCCATCAAAGGCTACTAGATCCTCTATATTAAACATGGGATTCATGTTGAAACCTTCGGGAAGGTCCAAGACATAGGCATTACTGTTTATTTTTGAAGTTATTTTAAAGGGCCCTGCGCTCTTAGCATGAAGTTTCTTAACGGCCCCTGGAGGGAACCGCTCCGGACGAATCTGAACCATGACATAGTCTCCAACTTTGAACTCCTTGAAGCGTTTCTTAAGATCAGCATTAAGTTTGTACTTCTCATTACTTTGCAAGATTCTTTTATTAATTTCTTGATGCAATTCCTGGATATGAGATGCAAATGCAGATGCAGACTCTGACACTCTAAGCCTAGGACTCATGGGGAGTAAATCTATTGGCTTCCTAGGTTGGTACCCATAAACAATCTCAGCGGGGCTCATACCGGTGGTTCGATTGACGGAGTTATTGTAGGCAAATTTGGCAATGGGTAGTTTGGAATCCCAATCCCTAATATTGTCTCCAACTAAAGTTCTTAGAAGGTTCCTGAGGCTCCTATTAACAACTTTTGTTTGGCCGTCCGTTTGGGGGTGAAAGGCTGTGGAGAATTTTAGCTTAGTCCCCATCTTAATCCAAAGAGTCTTCCAGAAATAGCTTGTAAATTTGACATCTCGATCCGACACAATGGTCTTAGGGAGTCCATGGAGTCGGACAATCTCATTAAAGTAAAGTTTGGCAATCCTAGAGGCGTCAAAAGTTTTGGCGCAAGGGAGGAAGTGGGCCATTTTAGAGAAACGATCTACTACGACACAGATGGAATCGTGCTTCTTAAAGGTTTTGGGTAGACCTAGGACAAAATCCATACTAATGTCTTGCCAAGGGCAGTTGGGGACAGGGAGTGGCATGTAGAGTCCTGTGTTTTGCTTTCTCTGTTTAGCTAATTTGCAGGTATGACAATGTTTGATTAGCCTCGTGACATCGCGCTTAAGGCTGGGCCAAAAGAATCTACACTCGATGGCTGCGATAGTCTTGGCTTGTCCAAAATGTCCAGCTAAACCTCCTGCGTGTAGCTCCCACACAAGAAATTCACGGAGAGAGGTGTTGGGGATACACAACTTCTGAGACTTGAATAAGTAACCACCCTCTAGCAAGAAATCATTTACGGATGGCTTATCCCCTGCCATAGTAACGCATATATATCTTTAAAGTCAGTACACTCCTGATAGTCGTCCTTGATGCGTTCGAATCCAACAACTTTTGTTCTCATTTCTCTTGTTACCATTATCCTACGGCTTAAAGCATCGGCCGCTTTATTCTCAGCTCCGGCTTTATGTCTAATAGTATACGAATATTCCTGTAAGAACTCAACCCAACGACCATGACGGGCATTTAACTTCTTTTGGGAGTTGATGTATCTCAACGCCTCATGGTCTGAAAAGATCACAAACTCCTGAGGTAGTAAATAGTGTCTCCAATACCTAAGGGACTGAATGATAGCATAAAACTCCTTATCGTAGGTGGAGTACCTTTGTCGTATGTCATTAAGTTTCTCGCTAAAGTAGGCCACGGGGTGTCCTTGTGACAAGACTCCTATACCGATTCCTGATGCGTCACAGGTTACCTCAAACACCTTAGAAAAATCTGGGAGACGCATAACAGGAGCTTCTACCATTCTTTTCTTAATATCCTCAAACGCTCTGGTAGCGGCAGTCGTCCAATGAAATTCCCCTTTCTTAAGACAATCAGTTATGGGGGCTACAATGGTGCTGAAACTCCGAATAAACCTCCGATAGAAAGTAGCCAATCCATGAAAACTCCTAACATCCCGGATATTCTTAGGTTCTGGCCACTCATTTATAGCTCGCACCTTCTCGGGATCTGCAGATATCCCTTGAGTTGAAATAATTAATCCCAGAAAGGTCACACTATCGGTGAGGAATTTACACTTAGCAGGGTTGGCGAACAGTTGTTCTTTCCTCAAAACTTCACAGACTTGAGTTATATGATTGAGATTTTGATCCTCCGAAGTGCTGTAGATTAATTTGTCATCAAAATATACTACTACGAACTTTCTTAAGAAAGGTCTCAGAACTTGAGTCATAACTCTCATAAAGGTACTAGGGGCGTTGCTCAATCCAAACGGCATAACAGTCCATTCATAAAGTCCATCTTTAGTTTTGAATGCCGTCTTCCATTCATCCCCGGGACGGATCCTAATTTGATGATACCCACTCTTAAGATCTATCTTAGAGTCATGTCCAGCATGTCATCTAGCCGAGGAATGGGAAATCTATACTTGACAGTAATCTTGTTAATAACGCGGCTATCAACACACATTCGCCACGAGCCGTCCTTTTTGGGAGTTAAAAGAGCAGGAACAGCGCAGGGACTAAGGCTCTCCTTAATGAATCCTCGTTGTAGGAGTTCATCGACTTGTTTCTTAAGCTCAGAGTGTTCAGTCGGGTTCATACGGTAGTGAGGAAGGTTGGGTAGGGATGCCCCTGGCACCAGGTCTATCGCGTGCTATATGTCCCGCAGGGGTGGCAGTTGGTTAGGAAAATCTTCTGGGAAAACATCCGCAAAGTTTTCAATGAGAGGTCTAACGGTATCAGGGATAGGTTCTTTCTGGTCTTCATCTACTTCTCTAGCCACGAGGGCGTACATGGGTGCTCCTTGGGTGATCTCAGTTTCCACCTCCTTCGCAGTCAATAAGTGGAGGCCTTTACTGTGCTTGGCCGAGACAGGCTTAGCTTCAGTTTTGGGAGGTTTAGGTTGAGAGGGCATTAACTTGATCTTCTTTCCACTATGTTCGAACACGCAGGTGTTCATCCTCCCATAAATATGGACATCGTTGTCAAATAACCAAGGACGACCAAGGATAATTTGACCAACATCCATGGTTAGAACATCGCACCAAATCTTGTCTTGATATCCCACAAATTCCATCGGAATAAGGCTTCGATCCTTAATTTCTATGGTAGTCGAATTGATCCAAGAAACCTTATACGGATTTGGGTGCGGGGTCACCTTAAGATTGAGCTTGGAGATCATGGCTGACGAGACGGCGTTGATACAACTTCCACTGTCTATGATAACTTTACAGCTCTTTTCTCCGATCTTAATGAAGGTATGAAAAATTGAGGTTCTACGCCTATCATCACTTAGCTTAGGTTGGGCTAAAGCACACCTAACAACTTGTAAGGTAACGGGTTCTTCTTCAGTAAAAGAGTCTTCTTCCTCATCCACTTGGTGCACCAAATCAGTCTCAGGTTCTTCTTCCTCTTCGTCCACTTCTTCAATTATGGTGACTTTGTACGGACTAGAACATTGTGAAGCAATGTGCCCGTACCCATGACACCTATAGCATTTGGTTCCAGAATTGGGTTTGGGAGCGTCTCGCTCGGGAGCTTTACCTTTGAGGTCCGTACGAGGTGGGGCCAAACTAGCAGGGGTTCGGTTTGCAGTCGATCCTGAGGGTCGGGTTTGAGATTGTCCAGGCAAGGTTCTATACGAGTTCGAGCGGGAGTCAAAGTGCCTAGCTTGGGAGTGGGTTCTAGAATCTTCGAGGTCGAGAACTAGGCTACAGGCTGCCTCTAAAGAGTCTACACCTCGAGCAAAGAGTTCCGTACGCAGGTCTTCCCTAAGGCCAGCTCTAAACATAGAAAGGATTTGAGTTGGGGTGGCGGACTCTTCGCCATTGCAACGGATCAGGAAGTCGTCAAAGGCCGAGATGTAGTCTTTAACGGGTTTGCTCCCCTGGGTTAATCTATTCCATTTATCAAGGAGTTTCGGGTAGTACGAAGGGGGAAGATATTTTCTCTTAAGTTCCTGTTTCATCGTCCTCCAGTCCGTGATCGGGTGTTCGCCTCGAGCCTCGCGCATATTCTCTAAATTGGTCCAATACAGGTTGGCTCGACCAATGAGCTTCATTTCAGCGAACCTAACTTTCCTAGCTTCAGAGATGTTGTACCACTTGAAATAACTATCCATTGATTTCAGCCAATCTAGGAAAACTTGGGGGTCAAGGGTTCCGTCATAGGTCGGAGCGTCGATCCTAATGTTCTTCAGTAATTGGGTGTCGTTGTCTCTCCAAATGTTGTCTTCCCTTATGGGCTCTTGAGGTGGCCTAGGGTTGCGTTGGTAATGGTCGGGAAAACGTCCGGGATCTCGATGGGGTTCATGATCGGGTCGGTTGTCTTCACCATAAGGTGAGTGAGGTCTTGATGGCGTATAAATTGCAGGATTCCCGTTACGCTCAATGTTATCTAGTCGGTCATTCGTGTGGCGCCTAAAGTCAGCTAGATCGGTTTGGGTGTTGCGAATTTGTTGAGTAACGGTCCCTAATTGGCCCAAGATGAGGTCTAGGGTGGCTTGGAGGTGCTGTGGATCCATGGGATTAGCTGAGGGTTGAAAAGGGTAGGTTTGGGATGGGGGACAACACTGTATTGCTGCTGGAAACAGCTCTTACAGCCACCAAACAGCCGCTGGAAAGTTGGGGACAGCAACCTAACACAGTGGGGAAAGTGGTTTAAGTGACTAGGGTGGGTTGTGGTGTGTGGACAGCCACTAGACAAAGGTTTTGGGCACTTAACAGCCACTAAATAGTGCAGAAAAACTCAGGACAGCAAGTAGTTTAAGTGTAGCAAGTGCGTTAAGTGACTCGGTGGGTAGTAAGTGACTAAATTAACACTTGGGTAACATAAGCATGCATGTTAGTAATGAAAATAGGATGCTGTAAATTGCTGGACAGCAAACAAAAGCAGTGAATAAAACGTTTTAAACAATGTTATGCATGTAAATGCTAAATGGTAAGCTAGTGGGGACTTCCTAGGATGCATCTAACATGAGCTAAGCATGCTAGCCATGCTCTGATACCAAAAATGATGTGAATCCAGGAATCGAATCTTATGAAATTAAATAGAAGTTAGTAAATCTAATAACGTACATCTCTAAGCTTGGACAATATTGGACAAATCAAAGGAAGATCTTTGAAGTAATAGTAACCACGCTATTAGGGAAAAAGATAATTCGACTAAAGTTTAGCAAGATGAATAAAAAAACACTCACATTAAAGCAATGCGAATGAGCTAAGATCAACACGAATCCAGGTTAACAAGCCGCATGGCTCACCTCAAGAGGCGGCTCTCAATTACCTGAACCTAGGACTTGTTGGGAGAAAGAAGACCACCTAGTGAGACGACCACTCGAGAAGACAGCCGTAGATCGTACGAGGAGGAAGGAGGGCCCCGTTTGGAGACTTGGAAGATCCCGTCGATAGACCCAATTGTATCTCCGGCCGTTTCATATCAATAACTTGATGAGAAGGGAAAATCGTTCCAAGTAATCCCCCAACGGTCTCCGCGATCGAATCCGGCTCAAGAAGGAGAGCGCAGTACGTCGAGGGTTTTCCATTGACGCATCAAAAACTATCCCCATTCGAGTTCGGGATCCGCCCATGAAACATGGAATGGCGCTAATGTGCCGCAGAATGACTCCTAAAGGACGGGATAAGTGGGGCGGCTTGGAGAATCCAAGGGGGAGGAGGCGCGGCAGGATGTATGATGTGATGGAGGAGGAAGGGTGCGGACATTATCTTCAAAACTGAAGAAAATTCAGTTTTAGACGAATATTGTAGGAAGAAAGGGATAGATTGAAAAGACAATTAATGTAATCAAGGCATTAATTGTAAATTCAATTATGGGAGATTAAAGGAGGAAAAACTGATAATTATTTCGTTTTATAGAAAGTGGAGAAGATTTAATCCTAATTTGAATTCAAATAGATTAAGAAGGGTTAATGGAGCATGATTGGTAAGAGTTCACTTCATAGAAGGTCCGACGGAATGATTGGATAGGGACAGAGGAAAACCGAGAGGAGGTATAATGCAGAATCGATTACTAGCAGCATAACTAATTGAAATATTGCCAATAATGTATTCTATGATGAGTTCAAAGAGATTCTGGAGAGTCCAAATAGAGAGCATTTCAAATTTAAATCCTATCCTCAAAGCTTGGAAGTTGGGGAAACTAAGAAGTGTTGCCCATGGGATGAGGGTGGTCGGCGTGGTGGTGGACGGTGGGCTGAGGCTTGGCCGGCGTGGGGAAGTCTTAGGGGGGGCGGGCAAGAGCAAGGCCAAAGGAAGTGGGGAAGAGTTCTTGAGGGGAAGAAGATTGTGTAAACAAAAACTAAAGAAAAACAAACAAAACTAATGGATAACTAGAGAACTCACTAAGAGATCTCAAGAAGGAGGCACTCACCAAGAGAACCTCATGCACTCACAAAGAGAACAAGCTATGGGAAAATTTTCATTCAATTCATCAATAATCAAATAGTACAAGATCTAGCCTTTATATAGGCTCCACATCATACGGGAAATAAAAGACTACAATGCCCATGGGGCAAAACAAACACTACTTCCCTCATAGGGGTACAAACGGAAAAGACAAAATATAAAATATAATAAGACATCAAAAATAAAGACTCCGAATCAGGGCCGTCGATCGACGCCTCCGGCGATGGTACACGTGTCGGAATCTGATGCCCTCATCAGACTCTCTCTAATCTTTTCTCTCCCACTTGAGCTACTTCAACCATTTCACGAATATACTCATTTCGTATCTGGTCTCTAAAAGTAAAGCCACGCATCCACCTAAGCATACTCATCTTTGCAATAGTTAACTTAATAGTATGCTTCTCTTTTTACTAACCAATATTTTGCGCCATAAAAGCATTGCAGGTCTCACCGCATCTTATAGAATTTTCCCTTAAGTTTAAGGGGGACTTATCTATCATACAGCAAGCCCGATGCATTCTTCCAGTTCAACTATCCAACTTGATTTCTTCTAATAATATTCCATCTATTTTACCATCTCTATGAACAATAGACCCAAAATATCTAAAATATGTACTCTTCTTAATGACTTGATCGCCCAAAGTCATAATCCTTACAATTAGACTCTATGGTTGAACTCTATAATTCAAGTGTATCTTTAACTCCCTCTCTAATCTTATCAACAAGAAGAATATCATCAGCAAAAAAACATATCTTCACAATAAAGCTTGGAGACAGGGATGGAGTTCAATTGGTCAATTGACGGATATGGATGAATAAGCGCACAAAAGGAAGAAAGATGGATACCTTCACAAGACCAAGCTCCCGTTATCGCAAAGGAGGTGTGGCTTCGGATGTAATAGAAGAACGACAAGAAGTGGTGTGACTCCGGATGCGTAGGAAGGAACATTGTTGAAGGTGTCAACTTTGGTTGCAACAGGAAGGAATGTCGTCGAAGGTGGCGACAGGAATGCAAACGTTGTCGTCGAAGGAGGAGAGGCCATGGGAAGGAACATCATCAAAGCTAAGAAGCATCGGAGCCGAAATCAAATGAGGTAGAGAAACAGAACAAATGAAACGAATGCATACTCTGTCGGTTATATAGGTTAGTTAGCATCAGATTTGCGACAGATTTGTCATTGCAAATTTTTGGCAGATATTTCATCGCAATTTGGCTGCAAAACGATCGTCAAACATTTTGTCGCAAATCCTTAGCCATTTACGACTCAAATTATCCGCCACAAATCCGCCGCAAAAAATAAATAAATAAAAAAAAATGATTTACCTGTAGTAAGTAGTCATGGGATTGCGATGGTGGAGACGGAATCCGGGGTTTGTCGAGTGCTATAGGCTGGCTGGAGGTATAATTAGTAAGGAGCTAAGCAAGAAAAGAGAAAAGCTAGTGAAGGAAACAAAGAAGAAGAAAACCTGTGAATATGATGTAGACAAAGGGGGCTCAACTCATGTCCAAAATAATATGAATTTTGGCTTCCCTTGTGTCTACTAGCTCAAATAAATTTGAGCTGAAATTTTAGCTCATTTATGAGCTGATCTTTAGTTCATTTATTGAACTAAGGGTTAGCTCATTATTAGCTAACATTTTAGTTCATTTATTATCTTACTTTTTATTAAATGTTATTTAGAGTTTTAAAGTCTTCTTTTATGATGTCTCTTGGGGTTCCAAAAAGGGCTTTTGGAATCCCAAGTTAGGTGTTTTGTATTCCCATGCATGACTCCTTGGTTTCCTCCATGTTTTCATTGCATTTGCCCCCTTGGATTCCGACCGTCTGCTGGTTTCCCGTGCCTGGGCTCTTTCCGTGGCCGTGCCCCCTTGGTTCCCGCTCGGCCTCTTTGGCTTCCGCGTACCTCTTCGGTTTCTTGGCTTGGGATTTATTTTTAGGTGTTTTAATGTTGTGATGTTTAGGTTCTTGTGATAATTAATGTTAGTGTCTCTTTGTATTCCCTTTCATACCTATATATATGGGGGATTTGTAATGTTTGAAGTATGAAGTAATGAAAATGTGATTTTTGGAAAAGTTATAACCTGCGGGTTTTCTTTGGAAATCCTGCGGGCTCTTTCCACCCTTCTTTCTCATCCCCTCCGGAAATCCTGCGGGCTCTTTCCAACCTTTCTTCTCGGGCTTCTAACCTCTTTCGTCTCTCCGCAAGTGCCACTCCACCTGTATCCTTCTTCTCTAAGTGCAGCAACTTTAGGGTGTCTTTTTATTTTATTTGTAAGAGTTTGTTCTTTCCTCTCCTAGTATTTCTTGTTGTGTCGGTGTCGTTTTGTTTATTTTTTGTTGTCCCCTATATTTTTTGATCGCATCAGAATAGGAAGAGAAAACTAGATAGTAATGATTTTTGTTTGTATGCCTTTAGGAAAAAAAGTTATTGTGTTGTATATTTAGTATTTTTAATTTTGAAGTGTTTTGTTTTTTATTAGGACATTCATAATTTGGAAAGAATTTAAGACCACAGTCGTGTATGCGACTTGAAAACTTTAAGTTATGATTGAAAACCAATTTAATAATGTGTTAAATGGTAATCAGAGGAAATTGTCAATTATTTCTTTGGATTAATAGGTGTCCTACACACGCTAGAAGGCACGAGGGGTTCGACTAGGTCAGTATGTTCAAGGAGGTAAGATATGCGTCCTTGTTATGTAGTAAATAAGTGTATGCGTGGCATTTACTCAATGACTTATGTGACTGTAACTATTAATCTAAACTCTGATTCATACAACCATTGTACATATCATTCTTTGTGATATGTTACTATGTTATTTAAGTTATCTTGTGCAATTATGTTAAACTGTGAAATATGAATTATACAACTATGCTTATATATTGATGCACTGATACAAATTTCAATCCTTCTTATCTATATGCACGTATAAATGTAGACATGCATATAAGTAATAGATATCAAGTTCTTGTCTGTAGAGAGGAAATAGTCATGATTAAATAAGTTAAATAGGCTATGAGATTTATAGTTGGTAGAGCCTAAAGGCTATAGAGGCAATGCAACCTTAGGAGCCTGCGGGCTATAAAAACCTTACTCTAAACATGACATTTTTCTGTATTAAAATGGAAGTTATCAAATAAATAGAAATCGATAATGGTGACTATATGTTTTAATAGTATGAATTATAGATCACATACAACTACAACTGGTTTAAAGCAATATTATTGATGTTATGCAATATGTAATTGAACATGTACTTCAGGAAAGCATCATTCTTACATGTTATATGGTAGGAATCATACCTTGTATCTTATTTTACATTATTTTTACTATAAAATTTGGTGCCTTACACATGCACAGCTTGATTTACCTATTGATGCTCACATTTATTAGTAAATTTTTGTACTTAATTATTGTATTAGAAATGCATATCTTTGTGTGTTGTAGCTAACCAGATTATTATTCTGGCTGTTATTGCAGAAAAGGAGAATAATAAGGTCGAGTCAGAATAGTGAGAGTGATAGGATCAATTTTTTATTTCATGTTTACATTTGTTAATATGAGTGGGGTGTAGTTCACTTCAGTAATATATTAATATCTATAAATTTTGGGTTCCCTTATGTTTAATCTGTAGAGGAAAATCTTCTTGGAAATAAAATTTCGGCAGCTTCCACTTTTGAATGATGGTTCAAGTTATGATATTTTATTATGCTTCATTAAGACATCATGATTCTATTTTTTAAATAAAGGTTAAAATAATGTAATAGAGGGGTGTGACAAGTAAATCATGCGCAATTGACCTACATATATTCTAGTTCAAAGCTATCCTAACCCATTGACTAGGAAAATTGAAGTTACATGGAAATCCAAGGAATTAACATCAAGGTCAGTGGAAGAAATGCAACATGAAAGGCTAGAAAAAGTCTACAAGCATCAAGGGTGCTGCATCATTAAAGAAGAGTAATCACCATGCTTCACTATAAAATCATGATAGAGGTGGTTGGCTAATCAATCCTTATGCATGATAGTTTGCCACCATTCCTCTCCTACTCCCCTTAGATTCTTTAGGATTACCAATTGGATGAGTATCCATTTATTTGTCTAACAAACTAACTATTTCAATTTGTTAAAATGTAACAACAACAACAAGTCTTTATCCCATTTGGTGGGGTTGGCTAAATGAATATTTTTTCTCTATTATGTCTGATTAAGAGTTAAATTCTTATTTAAATCTAATAAAAAATGTGATTTTAATACTTCATGACATAATTTTATTATGTCTACCTCTACACTAATATCCTCATATATTTCACCATCGCTTCGAACGATAGATTCGAGATATTTAATTTTAAAGAATCCATAACCTATCGTCACAATCCCACCACTAGATCAATTACTGCTAAAATGTCACTATGTATTCGGTTTTAGATCACTCAAATGAAAACATTTAGACTCTAAGGTTAATCTCCATAATTCAAGTTTTTCATCAACTCCCTTTCTATTCTTATCAACAAGAGAAGTATCATCAGCAAAAGCCACACGCCAAGATACATCCTCTTGCAAAAGTCTAGCAAGAATATTCATGACTAAAGAAAGAAGACATGGGCTTAAAGATAATCCTTGATGTAATTCAATAGAAATAGAAAAATATTTGTTCAAATCACCTTGTGTTTGAACACTAATAACAGCTCCTATATACATATTCTTAATGAATTGATTATAAGAATTATGAACTTCCCTCTTTTCTAGAACTCTCCAGAGCACTTCTCTTTATGCTTTATCATATGCTTTATTTAAATTTATAAATATCGTATTTACATCTTACTTACTCTCTCGGTACTTCTCTATCAAATCTTTAGCAAATATATAGCTTGCATATTAGACCTACCAAACATGAATCCAAATTGATTTTAAGAAACTTTAGTATCACATTATAATGTATGCTAAATTACTCTCCATAATTTTAATGTATTATTTATTAATTTAATTCTTCTATAATTCACACACTTTTGTGCATTACCTTTATTTTAAAAATAGGAATGAACACACTTTTTCTCCTCTCATCAGACATTTTTCTGGTTTTCATAGTTATTTTAAAGACTTAGCTAAGCCAAAAAAATTATTTGATCTCGTAAGCATTTCCACACTTATATTAGAATATGATCCGGTCCTATTGTATTTTCGTACATCTTTTCATTAAAGCCTCTCTAACTTTGATTTACTAATATGATGATAAAAATAAAAATCCTTATTTTCATTTTAAGGTGCTATGGTCACTAAAATCAATTGTATTCTGGCAATCTTTATTGAAAAAATTATCAAAATATCTCATCCACTTATGTTGAATGTCCTTTTCTAAGAAAAATAATTTTTGATCTTCATGCTCAATGTATTTCCCTTGAACTAAACTATTATTTCTCCTATCTTTTTTACTTGACTATCTTATACATATATCTTTCGCCCACCTTATCATCTAATTTATTATATAAATCACTAAAAGTTAAATTTTTTCCATCACATTCTATTTTCTTAGACATCCATGGGCCTTTTTTCATCAAATTTAATTTGAGATAGTCAATATAGTTATGTCTATCCTTATTTTCCACTTCATAATTCATGTAGGCCTCTTATTTCTATTTAATGAAATATATTGTAAATTGCCTATATTAGGGAGATGGATGTAAAGTTGATCAAAATCGTATAATTACATTAACCAAGACCCAATTTGCCAACACAAGAACTCAAAAGGATGGTAGATGTTTACTAGTCATGTATTGCACTATCTTTGGTATCTCAAGCAAATCAAGGTAGAAATGTGTGCCAATGAAATGCTTTCAAAGTTTACATCCACTTTTTTATAGGTAAAATTTGCATTAGTTTAATTCAATAGCTTAGAGGCACAAAGTATGATCACTTGCTATTCAATGGTACTAAACATAATTAACAAGAGGTTAAAGGCATGATGAATCCATTAAATTTTCTTGACTTTCAGCTTGTCTTGAAGAAGTATGTAAAACATGCATAACATTTGATTGATGGGTTGTTGAGATTTTAATTTGTGGATTTGGCTTTTGATTTGTAGACTTTATAGTATGAAAGTTAGCTAGAGTTTAATTTGAGATGAGACTTCCATCCATTTGAAGGCCCTAATAATGGTATTGAAGTCTTACTTTATAGTTAAGGTGGACGCAATGTTTAAAATTGCGTATTCGGGTATTGAGGCGTTTTTCATTCGTGAGGCGAGGCGTAAGCCTTAAGGCGTTTTGAGGCATAAGCCTCAAAATCAAAAGATTTTGTTAACATAAAATGATAAATTTTTTATATACTAATGAGTGAATAATATAAAACATAAAAAAATATAAGATATGAAGTGAAATCAAAATATCTCAATAATAAGACAACATGAATTTTAGTTCAACTTAATATTATATCTTTCTCAAATCCCAGTATTCTTTTCATTAACATATAATTCCAATTTCCAAAAATAAATAGCAATGACATATCACATAAGAACTCATAAGTCATCAGCACTGTCATCACTAAGGGGTTCTTCATTTGATTCATCATTATGGTGAACTGTTCTCTCCCCTTCCTCCTCTCCTATAGAGTCCAATGTCGGGCATTTACTTCAAGATTTTTGTAAGTTTTAATATATATAGCGTGAGGCGAGGCGGGCCTCAACCAAGTTGAGGCGCAAGCCTCATAAAAAAAACTCGAGGCGTAAGCATCGAGGCGCTTTTTACTAGAATTGTGCAAAGGCAGGCCTCAAGGCGAGCCTCATATTGCGCAATTTTAAACCATGGGTGGCCGCCAAGCAATTAAATGATTTTGAGGGGCTTTGTTTGTTATTACATTAGCCCGTTAATTGGTATGGGGCTTACATCAGTTGAAAAGTTGAAATTTTGATTTAATGAGTTTGTTGGCTTTATGTCAACTTAATTAAAGGAGTTGTGCTTACATCCTCTTCTATGGCCTTTATTCACTGGCTCGTGTGATCCTTCCTTAATTTGGGCTTTTTTGGATTCCCAAGCTTCTTTGTTCCTTTTTCTGGCAATGGCTTTTCTGCAGCCCCTTATACTAGCTATGAAATTATAGTTCTGCATCTTATGATAGATTTGCATTAGAAATTCTAGACCTAGTAGACTATTGCCGTAAAAGAGAATAGAAAAATAGTCAAACCCGAAGGAGGCATTGGTGGTGGGATTTAACAGTCTAGCCTTTTATTGTTTATAAAGAATAAAAACAATGCACTTATATTTGAATATGTTTTTGTTTTTCATGGGAATGAGTCCCTACCCTCAATTACCTTAGTTTAACATTCAATTTTTAGTTATCATGTGAGGTACTTTAGGCTACTAAGGTAATCATAAAACAACTTTTGTTTATCAAAATTTCTATATTTGACTAGGGTTCTTAGATTTTTTTAATTATTATTATTTTTTTTTTTGAATGTCTATTGGCGTCAATTTTTGTTTATGGGGAATTGAGATAAGATTTGAAGTATATTTTCTATACACATGATTTACAGAAACATTTCATTGAAACCAATGGAATTTGATCGACTTGTTAATTTGCTTCTGCTTGTGGTATATTTATTATTTACCTTATTCATATTATGGTGAACTGAGTTAGGTGGATAAAGGCGTACGTTCTGAGATAATTCGTTCCATTCTTTCAGAGCGTGCGAATTGGCCTTTTATGGCAGCACAATCAGCAATTGATGTAAGTTGTTTCCTTACAATGCATCATTTTGTATTCTTATATAATATTTAAGAAGTTTTCATCTGAATTTCTACTGTCCAGTCATGTTTTCTACATTATTAACAGAGAGTCGGATAATATCTTCTATTTGTTGAAAAAAGTTCCAGTACCATGCGCATCTTACAAGGCTACATTATATGATTGTGATTATTTAATCTTTGAGTCATGCAATCTCGAGTCTTTCCCAGCAATTATAAGGAAGGAAAACATAAATAAAGCTTAAAAAGTTGGTAAAAAGATACAGATAAAACAATTTTTCATATTCTACCATCCCAATGTCAAATTTAATGGAAAGAAAAAAAAAGTGGGTTTCTTTCCTTTCTCTAGCATTTTTTTTTCCTTTTTCCCCCAAGTGTATTTAATACCAGACACTTTTTTTTAGGTTGAAAAGAAGGGTACTCAGTAACCAATTGTCTTATTCGTGAACCAAGCAGTATTTCTTGCTCACTAAAATTGACCAAATAGCAACACATAAGACGTTCCATTAACCTTTATAATTATCTTTGATGTGTTCTTAACCTATTAAAGGCTATTTGGATGCTATCAAAAAGAGTAACAACTTCAATTTTATCGTCTTATAACTCCAAAATGATGTGTAACTGTACATGCGATGGAGTTACTTTAAGAAATTAATTGCGATGGAGTTACTTTAAGAAATTAATGAGAACAATTTAAACAATAATCCAAAGTAAAATTTATCACTTATAGCAAAAGATTGGTCCTTGGAATTCGTGGTTTTTAACTTGGTGGGACAAGTAGAGCAAATATCAATCACCAACGATTCAAGAAAACACAAAGAATAATTGTAAAACTACGATGGCCACAAGAATCCACAATTTAATACGGAGAATTTTCACCTTTGGAGCTCATTCGCTCAACTAATCTAGGCTTTAGCGGAAGAAGAGTCTCCACCTTAGAATCGAGGTCACTCCGAGGAAGAAGGAACCTTGGATCGTCGTTCTGGGATAGGTTGCGGAATATGGAATTCTGCTCGGCAATTTCTTGAAGGTGTATTCGCGGCCCGGGAGAAGCACTCGAGCTTTGGCGGTTGGGAGAATTCGGCCAAGGGAGAGACCATGAGTTGGGTGCAGGAATTTCTGTTTTGGTAGGGGTGGGAGGGAATTAATTTGAGGAATTCAAATTAATTCAAATGGTATTAATGGGGCGGTAAAAAGGGGAAGATTTTTGGGCTGATTTTGTGGTGTTATTATTGTCAAATGGGGAGGAGAGAGGAGCCATCAATGGGCCGGCCACATGTAAGGGAGAAGGCTCAAGTATTTAATCAAATGGGGCCCACATAATAAGTAACAGATTTTAAATAAAACCTGTAATAAAATCAGGATTCAATAAAAGGAAGTTTCCTTTCAGAGATGCCAACGTATCCAACCATTTTTTGAATTTCAAATTATCATCAAATGATAGGGATTTAATTGCGCTTAATATGGCTGATTGAGTAACAATTAATCAGCATTAACTGCTTGAATTCCACGGTCTGGCAACAAGGAGTAACGGCAGTAAGGGGTGCAGGAAAATTCGGTGAGCTGGTGGGAAAAGGTTCACGGCTTGGAACCTGGAAGTTGCTGGGGAGTTGCTGGACGGTGGAGGAGAGGGGAGAGGGTTGCACGGGATGGCTTGGATCCGTGACCAAAGGCTTGGAGGGAGGAGGCAGCAAGGCAGGCTGGGCTGTGAAGCCAACGGGCCTGATGGGGTCCAAGGGGAATCGGCGCAGCTGGGTGAGGGGAAGGAAAGGAATGAAATTCTGTAGAATTCCGCTTGCTTCACTTTCTTCAACACTCGATCTCCACGACGACAATCGATCACAAGAATAAAGGAAGAAAATGGTAGAACAGGAAGATCTAGAACTCACAAAGAGATCTAGCTCTTCTCAAAACTCACTAAGAGATTTGAGAGAGAGGAGGGTGAACTCACAAAGAGATCATAAGTGGAAATATTTTTCATTCATCAAATTAAATTATTACAAGAGAGAATGGCATATAAATAGGCCTCCCAATGACAAAGAAACGAAAGACTTAAAATGCCCCTTGGGCTACAATAGCAACTAACACCCATAAGGGCAAAACGGAAAAACACAAAATCAAATAACAACTACATAAAATGACTCAAAATAAACTCTATGATCGTAGCCGTTCGATCTCCGGCTCGAAAAATGCTGACGATGTCCTCATCATTCTCCCCAGGTGGGAGAAAACTCGACCCCGTCGAGTAAATATCTATGGAGCCCTCGTACAACTCTAGTAGATCTGGGTCTAGGCTCTGTAGCTCGTCCAAGTATCCTCTACCTCCGGTGTCCCTTTCCAATGAACTCGGTATCTTTGGCACCCACTTTCCTTGGGGAAATGACTCATCATTATAGTATTGCTTCGACTTTTTCCGCTATAGGTGAGTAGGGTAGTTGGGGAGTGGAGCTAGGCTGGGGATCTCACCAGGGGTCACACAAGGCTAATTTAAAGAGTGGATTTTGGGGTTAAGATTCGGGTCCTTCAAAGGCTAACAGGTCTTTTATATTAAATATAGGATTCATGTTAAAGCCTCAAGAGAGGTCCAGTACGTAGGCATTACTATTAACCTTTGAGATTTCCTTAAAGTGTTCGGTGTTTTCGAGCATGCAGCTTCCCGTACCATCACAAAGTCTCCAACTTTGAGTTCTTTGGACCATCTTTTGTTATCAGCAATAATTTCAATATGGATGTTATTTTGTTCAATTTTCCTTTTAATTTCGTTGAGTAACTCCTGAAGATGACATGCAGATGCAAATGCAAGAGATCGGGTGTGCATGATGAATGACAAGACTCATGAGCTTACAAAATTAAAACATCAACAACTTAGAAGGACAACAGACTACAACACACACACACAACATACTAACTCACACGAAACGTTGCTATAACAGGTGGATGGGTCACAAAAGAGGGGTCTAAAGTGTTCGGTCTAAAGGAACTGGTGTGGGAGGAGGAATGAAGACACTCTTAGCTACTAGGGTATAAGTGTTTTTAGTTAGGGTCGACAGCAGTCTCCTAGTGGGGTTAGTGTCATCTAATAAATTCAGACAACTAGGATAGAAGTGGTCCTTATCCTGGTAGGACGAGGCTATAACGGGCAAAATGTACGAATCAGGAATGACATACTTGGCCAAATACACATCCAATTGAGCAGCTCTAAAGTTAGACTCTAATGAACAAGAGGGATTATTGCACAAATCAGGCTCAAAAACTTTCAGACCCAAAGCACTGTCTTCCGAAAGAGACTCAGGTTTGTTGCAACCCTAGATCCTGATGTTCCGTTTCATAAATCAGGTGATATTCGATTGACTTACTTCCAAATCGAGATTATCTAAGTCGCCATCAGAATTATCCATAATTAAATCAGCATTATCAGAATCATCCGAATTCATCTCAGTAGGTGTTATAACTAAATCAAGATCTATCAAATTTAAATCCAAAGTGTTTGAGGTCCGGTTGGTTTCTTCCGAATCACATTACTATTCCAGGCATATTTTGTCCAAAGACTTGGCTTCGACGCGACTAGGATCGGGGTGGATTAGGGTGTCGACGTTTAAAGGCTCTAGCTTTCCTAGCTCAGGGTTTAAGTCATTCAAAGGGTTTGATTTAACCTCTTCAGTTTCATCCTCAAAGTAGCCCTCGTTATCATTAATATCATTAGCATCCACAAAATGGATGCACTCAGTTTTAGGTTCAGATGACTTTTTCTTGTTAATTACACTTGCAGGGTCAATGATTAAGGAGGCTAATGGTTGACAGGGATGGCTAGAAGCGGGTCCAAGTGGGGGGCCATAAGAGATTGATCTATCAGAAGTCCCAATAGAGGGTCGGCCTTTAAGCTTTGGTAAGGACCTACAGGGTGGGGCAGCAACCCTGATGTTACTAATAAAGGATGGGTGACCATAGTTAGGGGAAGTGTATTTTAGGTTAAGATCTCGTCTCATGTCTTTCCAAGTTGGGTACTCACCGCGAGACTCTTTATGATCTTCCAATCTTGCCCAAAATTGAAGAGCCTGGCCCTTGAGGTGAGATTTAGCGATGCTAACCTGGTGGGATTCAAGGATTTGACATGATTCAAAATAGTCATCTAGTTGTCTAGCCCATTCTCTAAAGTGGTAAGGATCCGAGGAACCATCAAAGGTTGGCAGCCGATAGGGTGACTCTAAGTGAGGTCGTGGAGGCTTAGGCTCAGGTCTCGGGTGATAAGCTGAGTGGGACCTATATTTAGAGTGGGGATAGTCAACAGGTTTCTCTGTCATAATTCTAGTCATATTGCCCACTAGGTTAACGATGTCATCTAAACTCTTTTGGAGTCTTATCGGATCCATTGAAAAGTGCCAAGTAAAGCTCAAAGATGAGTGGGTGTAAGGGACGTCATCTAGACTCTAAGTTAGGTTCACTTAGACTCACTCAGTGGTGCAGAAAGTTTGGGCAGCAACCACAACAGTGGGTGAAGAAGCCTAGGTGTTTAGGATAGGTTTTGGGGGAGGAAAACACCTAGAGGCCTTGGTAGGATGCTCCAAATACCTCAAACTGCTGCTGGAATCCTAAGGACAGCAACCTAACACAATGAAACGGGTTGGCTAAGTGTTGGGGACAGGTTTAGAAGGTTGGACAGCAACTTGTTAAAGGTTTAGGGTCACCTAAATGTCCCTAAATATTGCAGGAAATTCTGGCAGCTAGTGTTTCAAGTGTAGCAAGTGGCCTAAACACTTAGGTGAGTGGAAAGACTAAGACTACACTACTCATGAATTAAGCTTGCTTAGTATGACAACAACATGCAGAAATTTACTGGACAGCAAAGTAAAACAGTGAAAAACAATATCTAGATGATGTTATGCATGTAATTGACGAATGGCAATGTAAACTAGACTCCTAGGATGCATCTAGCACAAACAAGCATGCTAGCCATGCTCTGATACCAAGATGATGTGAAACTGTACATGCGATGGAGTTACTTTAAGAAATTAATGAGAACAATTTTAAACAAATAATCCAAAGTAAAATTTATCACTTATAGCAAAAGATTGGTCCTTGGAATTCGTGTTTTTAACTTGGTGGGACAAAGTAGAGCAAGATCAATCAACCAAACGATTCAAGAAAACACAAAGAATAATTGTAAAAACTACGATGGCCACAAGAATCAAATTAATACGGAGAATTTCACCTTTGAGCTTCATTCGTCAACTATCTAGGCTTTAGCGGAAGAAGAGTCTCCACCTTAGAACGAGGTCACTCCGAGGAAGAAGGAACCTTGGCGTCGTTCTGGGATAGGTTGCCGGCATATGGGAATTCTTGCCGGCAATTTCTTGAAGGTGTATTCGGCGGCCCGGGAGAAGCACTCGAGCTTTGGCGGCTTGGGAGAATTCGGCCAGGGAGAGACCATGAGTTGGTGCAGGAATTTCTGTTTTGGTAGGGGTGGGAGGAATTATAGTTGAGGAATTCAAATTAATTCAAATGTATTAATGGGGCGGTAAAAGGGGAAGAATTTTGGGCTGATTTTGTGGTGTTTTATTGTCAATGGAGGAGAGAGGAGCCCATCAATGGGCCGCCACATGTAAGGGAGAAGGCTCAAGTATTTAATCAAATGGGGCCCACATAAATAAGTAACAGATTTTTAATAAAACCTGTAATAAATCAGGATTCAATAAAAGGAAGTTTCCTTTCAGAGATGCCAACGTATCCAGCCATTTTTTGAATTTCAAATTATCATCAAATGATAGGGATTAATTGCCTTAATATATGGCTGATTTCAGCAGCTTAACTGCTTGAATTCCACGGTCTGGCAACAAGAAGTAACGGCCGTAAGGGGTGCAGGAAATTCGGTGAGCTGGTGGGAAAAGGTTCACGGCTTGGAACCTGGAAGTTGCTGGGGAGTTGCTGGACGGTGGAGGAGAGGGGGAGAGGTTGCACGGATGGCTGGATCCGTGACCAAAGGCTTGGAGGGAGGCTGGCTGGCGGGAGGAGCAGCAAGGCACGGCTGGGCTTGTGAAGCCAAACGGCCTGATGGGTCCAAGGAATCGGCGCAGCTGGGTGAGGGGAAGGAAAGGAATGAAAACTTCTGTAGAATTCCGCTTGCTTCACTTTTCTTCAACACTCGATCTCCACGACGACAAATCGATCACAAGAAATAAAGGAAGAAAATGGTAGAACAGGAAGATCTAGAACTCACAAAGAGATCTAGCTCTTTCAAAACTCACTAGAGATTTGAGAGAGAGGAGGGTGAACTCCAAAGAATCATAAGTGGAAAATATTTTTCATTCATCAAAATTAAATTATTACAAGAGAATGGCCATATAAATAGGCCTCCAATGACAAAGAAAACGAAAGACTAAAATGCCCCTTGGCTAAATAGCAACTAACCACCCCATAAGGGCAAAACGGAAAAAACACAACAATCAATAAACAACTACATAAAATGACTCAAAATAAACTCATGATCGTAGCCGTCGATCTCGCGTCGAACGGCGTCGAAAAATGCTGACGATGTCCTCATCACAAAAGCTTAAGAATTCTTTTAAAATCAGGAACATTAACAAGAATTGATGCATCTTGAAGCATATCCTTTTGAATAGTATGCTTATCCATGCTTTTTAGTTTACCAAATTTGAGGAGATAACTGAAGGCATTGAAATTCAACTTATAAATGGATAAATCCAACGTCAATACCTTTTTTATAGTCCTAGTATTTTCCTTCCTATTTTGATCATCAATGTTACTCCTTGTAATTATTTAAACGAGAATTTGACCTTTAATAGGACACAATGGAGAAAAATGATTCATGTAGCCAACCCCACATAGTGGGATAAAGGGTTGATGTTGTTATTGTTGTTGTTGTAATGTTACTCCTTGTAATTGCATACTCCCAAAGTAAATATAATGCATCGAATCCCTATTTCTGATATTTCCACCGTATAAGTCAGTTTTAACTTTTTTTTTAAAAGTCAGTTTTAACTTGAAAATCTATTTTCATTTTTCTTTTCTTTTATATTTGATGTGAAAATTTTGAATATATAGTGAACTAGATTGTGATAAACAAGATTTTATGAATTATCAAGACATCTTTGAACTTTTTGCTTATCTGCTCAATGCTTGAGAAATTATTCTTGATCTGATTACTTAATTCTTCTATTTCTTGAGTTGATTTATTTATTACATTAGGTTAACTTATATTCTAGTTTCTTTTGGTTTTCTTAATCTCTACCTGCTATTCTTTTGCTACTAAATATGTTTTTCTTTATTTTAAAAATTTTACTATATATCTTTATCTATCCGTAATTTTCCTATTTAGGGTTAGGGGACAAAAAAGAAAATTCAATATGTATGTTTAAAGAAATTCCAAGTTTTGCAATGTATGATGTGCTTAAGTTAGCATTTTTGGGTCTTGATTAGTACTATTAATTGCAGATGGAAGTCTTTTCAAAAGGTGACCTTTTTCAAAAAGTAATTGAAGTATATTCACGACCAACAAGGATTATTCGTGGAAAGGATATTGATGCTGATCTGGAGGTAATCACAATTCTATTACTTCATCCGTGCAATTTGTTTTTGGTTTGTGCGATTCCTTCAAGTAAAAGTGTAAAACCATTCATTTACTTAAAAACATTGCAATGGAGAAAAGGCAGTCTTTTAGTCATTATTTTAGTCGACCTTCATTCCCGAATTTTCATTAAATGAGTCTTTGATCTCAGGTGCAGTTATTTTCTTAAAAAATTTAATTGTACTATGAAAAACGGAGCAGTGCTACGTTACATCTCTCTTCATTTTGACATAGTTTTGGAAGCTTATAGCTAATTTAAGGTGAATGGTATTTTTATACAAGTTCCATGTTTACTGGGATATGATTGATGCGGACATCGGCACGAAGATTTGGCGCATCTATCATAGGAGGCGTCGTAAATTGACGGTTCTAATTTACATTGTCATTTATGATTTATTTTATGAATTTTAGCTCTTATTTTATGTTATTTCCTGTTCCCCTAGGTTAGTTTATTTGAGTGTTGTGGCCCAAGGGGCAATTTTGTAATTTTTGATTTTTCTCATGTTGTGGCCTATATATAGGGCCTTAAGCTATTGTAAAAGGGATGAAGAACTGATATGAAAAATTTGTGTTCAACAATTGTGCTCTTGTGAGAGAACGATAGTGAGATTTCTATGGGAGGAATCAGAGCTGTCACCAGCCGCAGGATGGGTCCGGGCTCGTGATTTGAAGTCCCTTGGAGAAGGGCAAAGCATCACCCGTCAGTCTTCGGAAGAGTCCAAAGGCTCGCTGTTTTTATTTTCTCTCTTTCGTTTTATCTTCTATCTTTCTTTGGTTTTTGTTTTTTTCTTTGTTCCGTCTTTGTATTCCTCGTCGTATTGCTCCTCGTAGTCATCTTTTCCTTTCCCTCAACCCCTCGGCCAAACCTCCATACCAAGCTCCACAAAATTTTCCCCATAGCCGCCGGCCACCTTTCCCCCTTTTCCCCCCTTTTTTTATTTCCCCCTCTTTTATTTATTTCCTAATATGGCTTAATATATTTAGGAGTATATTTGAATTCAAATTCAAATTATTTGAAATTCAAAATATTGCCTAAGATACAAAGTCTATTTTAGGAAAGTCTTAACACCGCATTCAAATCAAATTCTATTTGATTGGATTTAAAAAAAATCTTCTTTTAAACCCATTTATTCTCTTTGGAAATAATTCAAAATTTGAGAATTTTGTTTGACCGAAATTTCCTAGCCTTTAGTCACTTTCCAAATTCTGTAGAGAAGAATTAGGAATTAATTCTCTAATTCTTCTCTTCCTTCCCGTAACTCCCACTCATGGCCAAATTCCTATAAAACTTTAATTCCTAATTTAATTCCTAAACCAATTAAGGGAATTTGGAATTAAAATCCACCTCACCCCCTCAATCCAGCCGGCCTCCTCTCCTCATTAATTTGTTTTTGAAATCCCTCCATAACTGCAGCTTACACCTATGGAAATTTTTATAAAAAATATGATTCCATAGCCTTAGCAGAATTCTCCCTGTTAATTTCTTCTCATTAACAGCTCATCTCATTAACGGTAGGAGCCAAGCATTGAAGCTTTCCTTAAATTCTGGCAGTGGAATTAGGAAATTATTTCCCTCCATCTCCTTGTCCCGCTGCCCCCTTCTCCTCATTGCTGGGTTTTGAAAACTTTCCACAAGTGCAGCCATTTACTTGGGAAAAATTAATTACCCAATCCTCTCTCTGTTGGCCGAAATTCTCTCAAGCCCTTAGCTTGATTTTTCCTCCCAAGCTCCATCCCCATTATTAGAAAAACCTGAAACTTATTTCAGGGTTGATTTGGGTTCCTTTCTCTACAAGATTGTAAGAGAATATTTCAGATTTTTGGAGAGGAGATCTTTTCGCTTGCAAAGTCCCCTACCCGTTCTACATCAATGATGCACACTGACCTCAAGTTTTCCAATTAGAGCGCATTGGATGGTTTTCAAGACAAAGGATTTGAGACATTTTCATTGAAATAATAGTAAGCCAATAGTAATAGCCCAAAATAATGTTAAAATTTTTGGTGCTTTCAAGTCGTATAAAACAACATTACTGTCTAGTTAATTCCTTGACACATATCAGTTAATGGACAATGCTGTCACCATCTCCTTCACATTTTTTTTCCCTGATACCCTTGCTACTGAATTCTCCCACATACTTCATTTTCTGTCCGATGTATATATCTATTATGGAGTTCTACTTTACTGACATCTGTGTCTTTCTTTTTGTTTAATAAATATAGAATTTATTCATCTTTCAATACTAACATTGCTTCAGTTGATAATATCATTACTAGTTATCCACAGTTATCATTTATATTCAGTTGACCAACTTCAGTTTTATAATTAGTTGATTTTATTTCTAACTTATTTTGTTAGGTAGTTACTAATTTTTCTAAAATAACTCTACTCAATTCAACCACTTTCCTTTCAAACTCTTCATATTCGCAGGAAAAACTAGCTTGCAAGATTACTTGCTGGGTGATTTATCAGAAAAAGTTCAGTCTACTGTACTTTGCCCTTCGATATCATCCTTTTTGTTTTATAAATGTAGAATTTAGTCTTCTTTGAATAGTAACATTGGTTCAGTTGATAGTATCATATTCGGTAGTTACTAATTTTTAAAATACAACCCTCGTGAATTCAATCGCCTTCATATCAAACTCTTCATATGCTTGGTTAAAATAGCTTGCAAGGACACCCGCCTGGTGAAACCAGTAGGATAAATTTGGTATCGTGTTATTGTTTAAAGGTTATTTTGATTGTTCATTAAGGACCATTTATAAAATATGTAGAGATACAGAGTCTTGTAATATTATTCTACCTTGGATAACTAAAGATCAGTTGTTTACCTATGGCCATTTTGTACCACATCCAATTTGTATTGGCTGATCATCTCCAAGCTTTGGGCCTGGATCTCCTCCTCCTTGTCTTCTTGGAAGGCCCTTGCCTATTGCTTGGCATCTTAATCCCTTCAGTTTTTCAACCTGCAGCTTCAAGATCATAGTCAAACCCTCTCCTCCATCTCTCCTAAGTTTCCATTATTGTTGTGCTAGGTAGTTTATCAGAAAAGTTCGGTCTACTATACTTAGCCATTGATATCATCCTTTTTGTTTTATAATGCAGAATTTAGTCTGCTTTGAGTTGTAACATTGGTTCAGTGATAATATCATATTGGTAGTTACAAATTTTTATAAAATAACCCTCGTCAATTCAATTGTCTTCATTGCAATCTCTTCATATGCTTGGATAAAATTAGCTTGCAAGGACACCCGCCCGGTGAACCATTAGGATAACTTTGATATTGTGTTATTGTTTAAGGGTTATTTGCCTGTTCATTATGGGCCATTTATAAAATATTTAGAGAGATTCATGCAATATTATGCTACTTTGGATAGCTAAAGATCAGTTATTTCCCTATCGCCGTTTTGTACCACATCCAAATTGTGTAGGCTGATCATCTCCAATCTTTGGGCTGGATCTCCTTTTCCTTGTCTTCTTGGAAGGTCATAGCCTTTTTCTTTGGATCTCAATCCCATCAGTTCTTCAACCAGAAGCTTCAAGTAAGGAAAACACTCCTCTCCATCTCCCCGATGTGTACCCCCTCCCCGCGTTGTTGTAACTTCTGTACTCACTTATTGCACCGTTGTTGACTAATTGGACAAGTGGAAACAGTGGCATTGATTATCTTACTTGAAATCATCTAAATTGTGATTTATCATTGAATATTGCAACAGCATACTTTTGGCTTACATGAAACTAATTGATAGGTGACTGAGACTGCCTTTGAACATAATGAAGAGCAAGCCTTGTGGAATACATATTTGGCAGTGGCAACAGAAGTTCATACTGGTACTTTTTTTCCTTGACAATTACTCGTCATTGTCTTCAAAGAATAAAATGATTCCATTTCTGTAATACTTTATTAAACCTAATAATAATCTGCATTTTGATGCCTTGTCTGTCTTACTATGATATTTTAATCCTAGTTAAATCATTTCTTTATCTTTAATTAAATAGTTGTTTTCTTTCTTTTAGGTGTTGACATAAACACATTTCTGAAAGCCTCTTTGCAATTGATACAGCCACTTGAAGATTTCTTTGAGAGTGTTTATGTTATGACGGTAAAGATTTCTTCTTAATCTTTCACGCCTGAAGGGTATAATGTTTTATTTTTTGTTATGTTTTCATGTTAGTGTTATATATATATATATATATAATACACACACATACATACATAATTTATTTATAGTATTGTTGGAGCTATTCAATGTTTCAATCATGTTAATAGATTTCATTTTTTGATAGTCATGATCAGTTTTGATAGTCATAGATCATAATTTATTTATAGTATTTTTGATAGTCATGATCACTTTTGGAGTGGCCTTGTCCCTTCCCCTTTTCCTTTTGTCTCTTGGAAAACCGTGACTTGCTCTTTAATTATAGCTGAATTCAAAGCATTATTCCCCCTTCTTTTGTCTCTTGGAAAATCGTGGCCTGCTCTTTATTTGGGGGCTGATTTCTATGCTTTGAATTCATTTGGGGTGCTGATTTTTTTGTGCTTTTCCTCTTGGGAGTCAAGCCAGCACCTGTTGGGTGTTTTCCCGTAATAGTGATGCTTTGATTTCTGTGGGCTGTTTGTTGTCCGTGAAGTGGTCTCCTTGGTTCCTGTTCTGATTAATGAAGGGTTGATTTCCGTGAACTCCTGGGCTGATTTCCAAAGGGACATTTGGGAATCCTATGATCTAAAATGCTTGGGAGCTTGTAAACAATTATGATGTGGGTTTTGGCATTCCTCTTCTTTGCCTATAAATTGGAGATGTTGTTATGAAGAGAGGCAGTTGATATTTGTGAGCATATTTGCTATTAACCTGTGGGTTTATTCGGAAATCCTGCGGGCTCTTTCCAACCTTCGTTTCTCATCCCCTCCGGAAATCCTGCGGGCTCTTTCCACCCTTTCTTCTCGGGCTTCTAACCTCTTTCGTCTCTCCGCAAGTGCCACTCCATCTGTATCCTTCTTCTCAAAGTAAAGCAACTTTAGGGTGTCGTATCAGAGTCGATTTGAAGCATCTATTGAAGAATTGGGCCAATCTTGCTGTGGTGGACCATCGGTTTGCTAGTTCTATGCACTTTACTTATTTAACCTACAAATTCGATGCATGTGAGGAACCCGCTCTGACGGTTGTCTGAGGATAGCGTCTTTTTAAGTTTCTTTATTTTTTTAAAATCTCCTAGCAACTTTTGTTGTGTTTGTCAAGTTTTGGATTGTTTGAGTTTATTTAACAAAGTTTATTTTAAGATCTACTCATTTTGTCAGTTTTCTTTCTTGTGTGTTTTTTGTATTCAAGTGATATAGGCTCCCTACATCCCTATACTACATCAATGTTCGTTCAATTACCTATAGATGCTATGTTTCTTCGTTTCGAACAATCTGTGATAACTTTGCTCGGCAAATTACTCCTGAAGTCAATGACACATTAAAACATTTAAAGATAATACAGTTTTTGGAATTTCCTGGGTTTGTGCAAAATGTCCCTCTTATTTATGAGCTGATCTCAAGGTGGGACATTTCAAAATAATGCTTTGTTATAAAAGGTCAACTCATTCCTTTCACTGCTGATGAAGTGGCCCTTCTTACTGGTCTGCCAAATAAAGGAGAAGAAATATCATGACATTCCTTAGCACATACTTCAGTTACATCATCGGAAATAAGGAATGACATGATGGAGTTGAACAAGCAAACCCCCCCGGAGACTATGTTAAGAACGTTTATCATGTATTTATGTTCAAATTTACTTTTTAAACTTAACAACTTCAAAACCCCTCGGTTGATTCAAAGAATAGCAAATAATCCAGATATTTTTTTGTCAATAAACTGGGCTAGTTCAATTAGCCAGTTTTTAGTTGGAGAGTTTAATAAGGCATCCTCCAAGATTTCAAATAAGAAGCCAGCAGGTTACATCAACGGTTTTGTACCTCTACTAATTGTGAGTGTTAAGTACTAACTGCTAAATTCATTCAAAATTTTATTGGCTCAATGTGAGTGCTAAAATTTTTTTTCATCTTATGCAAATTTATGTTCCTGGAGCATACTACTATTCATGCTCCTATGTATGCTGACAAAAGGCTCCGTTTTTTTCGATGGGCCGATGATATTGTATATACTACAGAGGTGTTCACTAACTTATTTGCTAATATAAGGAAAAGTCAGATTTGTAATGTCTTACAGGCAGTTTCCCAGGAAGAAATGGATATGATTAATGTCGAGAAATATCCACCAGATTGCCCTACATCCCCTGATTCCCCTCATGACATATCCACCCATAAAAACAACCCCCCCCATCTCCCTATCATACCCCACCTCCTCAGCAAGACCCCCACCAATCTCCTCAGCAACCACATTTAAGTTTTTCTGCTGAAGCACTTCAGTCTCTATAAGAAACAATAATGAAATTCTGCCAAGAAACATGCACAAAACTTTTTCGAGAATTTGAAGGCAGACTGAGCACAAAGTTTGAAGATCTTACTGAGAGAGTTGGAGTTATTGAGGTCAAGCTCAATAATTACATTGATCAGAGCAAAGTAGTTCCTTAGAAAAGATCTGTTAGCTACTCTTCATCTTTCAATAAGAGACAGAGATTAGATATCCCACCACACAGCCTCAATGAACCAAATGATCCAATCCCACCAAAAGATTCAATCCCAACAAATGAGCCAGTCCCTGCAGAAATGCAACTTATTCCATATGCAAATCCAAATGAACCAATACCAGTAGATAACATTAAAATAAAACC